CCATATATTTTGTTGATACACTTGCCAAACAGGCTGTTTGTCAGCATAGACCAATGCTTGCTAGGCTATCTAAAGGCAGCACTGCAGTGAATAAAGCTGACAAACAATGATGGACAGATGACGTATAGTAAGCAGAATCTCAGTGGTACCTAGTTTGCCATGTAACAGCTCAGTGTGACGTGCTCTGTCTGGGCCACGTTATTGGACATGTTATGAAAAATGGATAGAAGGATTTGTCCTTATACAGTATAACCTGCGTTTATAGCTCTCCATTCATTCCTGTACATAAGTGCTCCCATACATCTAAGAAAACAATTTATTTTTGTCTCTGATTTATTTTCCCTTGAACCTGTTCCTTAACTCGTAGATGGCCAATGGAAAAATAGTTTAAACATCCTGGGGGGAAAGCACGTCAAACACAAAGGTAAAATATTTTCAGGCTGATTCAGTTCCACAAAGAGACATCCTTTGAATAGATGAATTAATGTATTTTTCTGGCTAGTCCTGTACATTACTGTTGCTCCTTGAATACACTCCCTGCAATCAAACAGAAGACTCAAATTCAGCTTGGAGGGTCTGTTGATTTCTCTTTTCACTGAAGCTGTACATATCTGGAGCAGTTTATAAATAACTGCAACGCTCGGGATGAATTATGGTGCAACTCTTCAAAGACTATTCATTATCATTTTGTAAAATATCTAGAACTGTATTTTTAGGCAACTGTCTCACAATCAGCCTCAGAAGGGGGACAATTATAGCAAAAGTATGCTTAGGGATGAATGTATGAACAGTTTTTCTGGGCATCAGTTGTTGGCCAAGTCAATATATACATTTACCAGACATTGTTGTACTATAGTTTTGCATCCATTGTACCATAATGGATGATTTAGCAAATTCATTTGCTCTAAAAAATTGTCATCAGTCTTGGCTGACCTATTTCACTACCAGTCTTGTCACAACAATAGACTGAATATATATAACCTTGTAGTGACTGTTCAGTATACTAAGAAGAAAATGTGGGGTCTGCAAAACTCAAATGACCAAATGTTATTCCCTTGCTACAGCTGTGGTAAATACATACTGCTAGCCCTCGCAGAGAGTCTTTTCATAGTGTCGATTCCTGTTTGCCTTACTGGTGTGTCTAGTCCCACCAGACATGCACCTGGGTTATGTGAAGTCAGAATTTACAGTGGACTGTAAAACTTTTATGGATTTGCTTCCTAGTAGATTTATACCTGTAGGTCTCAGTGGAAGCATTCACGGGAAACTGGCCCAAAATATATGAGTCAAAATTAAATAAATACAAAAAGATACCATATTGCTTGTGACTACCCACTGACACCAATGCCTTCAGTTCCTGAGATCATAGTATTTCTAATTTGAAAGGTAAGATAAAGGAAAACTAAAGCTCAAAGACAATTTCAGGCAAAAGATTTATATATCTGGTGATTTTTTTTCCCCAGTAATATGAGAACTATCCACTACTGGTTTAGCAATTAGCACAATTATCCCTTCACAATCTCATAAAACCCAACCATTTAAAGATCCTGAATGAGAACCTTCCTTTTCAACAGTTCTTACCCCCAAATCAAAAGATTTTAAGAATACCATTTGGATTAATTCCTTCCAGCCTAAGGGCTAGAAGCTTGCTTCCTTTTTAATTGAAAGGTAAAAATCTCACATAATCCCATTACTCCAGAGGCTTTGTCAATAAGGAAAACTAATTCAGAAAGAAATTTAAATCACAAGAAGAAACAACACCAACACATTAAGCAATGCCTTTAAATTGTAAGGCACAGAAGACATTTGAACCCCTCTGTAAAGTGTAAGATGCTAAACATTGCAATATATGAAGCCCAAGCCCGCAAAGTACTCAGAGAAAATTCCTATACTTCATGAAAAACCAAACTTCTATAGAGAGCACAAGAAGAATGAAGTGAGTGAATCACTTATAGCATTCATATTTTTGAATATACAAGGAATAATAATAATAATAAAACAACAGTCGATCATAATCCCCATTTTGGTAAAACTCTGAGTTATTTTGTTATTTTGGTGTGGTTTTGGTTGAGCACAGACATTTCATTCTACAACTGATTCTCAAAATAAAGAAAGGAGAGACTAGTGCAAATAGCTACATCAAAATCTGATTTGTCATGTAAGCAATGAATATTTCCGTTGGAAATTTACTTGTTTTCTTTTTACAGCCATGACATATCTAGGTCTCCTTCAGATAAGAAACATTAACTATTCTGGGTGTGATTCCTGTGTGACTTCATGAAGTATCTATAGTACCTGGGGGATGGAGGATTCTTAAGAGCAGTTACAGTCGTAATGAACTTAAAGGACTGCAATAAAAAAATATGTTAAAAAAATAGGCCTGGCAAACTTCAGATGGTAGTAAATAAATGTTAGTGGGTAGTTGGAGACACCATTGTATTATCTCAGGAAACTCTCACATCTTCTTGCTGGTTAATTTTTCTGTTATGAAGCACCTCCAACAAAGACAGACTTTAACCTACTTTATATTCATAATGATCCATGCAAATTTACCTCCTTTTGAGACAGGGGGTCAAGTGTTTAAGTTCATTCTTTAATAAGCAATATCTGCATAGACTTTTGCTGTATAATAATGAGGCATGTTTTGCAGAGACATTCAAAATCAAGACCCACAAAAATGGACTATTTGTGGATTCAATTCACCAGTAGCATATAAAATTCAGAACAGGAGAGCTGATAAGGATCATAAATACATTTTCAAATTTAGTATTTACCCTCTTATAGCATGTTGTCTAATTTTTTAATGTGTTCAGTACTAAAGGAAAGGGATTAAATAGTTCTCACTGTATATAGACTAGACAATGTAGGTGCACACCATGAGAGCTGTGGCAAAGAACCTCAACATACATTTGCTACACATCCATTTTTCCAAATAAAGCTTTCCTGGCAGGCAGCCAGTCCTGCAGGAATTGCCAACTGTTTTGTAGATAGGGCAATTATAATTCTCTGTGCACTGCCGCGAGACCACCTGCACATTCACGTGTGATGCAAGTCGGATTCGAACCCAGCTCTCAGGAGATGAATGTCAACCCACTGCTATTTACTATCAGCCTATTTTTCATTATCTTTTATTATCATTAATAAACACCATTTATAACTGCACCTGACAAACAACTAAGCACAGTGGAAGCTAGCAGATGGACCTTTTCCTATAAAACTTGGAATTGAGGTGTTATGTTCATTTGGGGGTGGGGATTATGCAAAGCCCATATTTTCATGTGTCATGCATTGCTTTCCTCAACATCTTACTGGACTTGGAAGTGCATAATGTTTTGTGCTGATATAGAATGAGAATGTTGAATTCTGTTTCAGATCATGCTGCCAATATTTTCATGGGAGTTTGCCTGTAATTTGTTATTAATCAATTCAATTAGATTCATTAAAATTAGGTTTTACTTGAAAAAAAAATTGGAAAATTACATTTAATGGTGTCAAATGAGTCATCATTTTCTCTTAAGAATCAGAAGTCTATTATCAGATAATGAAGGGGAAAACAGCTGCACCACTTACTTAAAAGGGCAGTTTAGACCATTAGTGTGGTATTACTCTGTCTAAACAAAATGTAGAAAATTATGAAAGAATATAACAGTTCTTACTGGTTTATTCTAGCATGTTTCAGTAAATGGAAACTTCTAGGAAATATTTTAAATTCGTCTACTTCTAACTGGGTGATATGCAAATAACTACATGCTGAAGTAATAAAAATGAATCAGTTACTTTGCAAACTTCCTTTTTAAGAGTCACCATACAGGATGACACGTATTTCAAAAGGGTGTAACACATTAAACGTCATCTCTGCCTAGGCTCAAGACTGAGAGAATTTTACATGGAAACCAAGTATTTCATTTTGGAGGAACTAAGTCATGAAAAAATCTTTTGACTTCCAGAGGGATATGTTTGTTTGTTCGCTTTACTGCAGCACTGTTCAGTCAACAACAAAAGCAGACTTTTCATGGTTTAAAGGTAGGATACTCCCTATGTCATCTGCTTTTTGTGATAGTGGATACAAATTTCAAAATAGTTAGGAGTTTATAACTAATTGCCAGTATGAACCGTGTTGCAAAAGTGTATCCCATGCACACTTTTGAAAACATTACTCGTAATTGGGTAATTTTCTTACCCACAACCAGGTAAGGAAAAATGCAAATATTTTAAAACAAAAGATTACTTTAGTGCTAGACTGTGTCTCAAGGCTTCCAGAGTAACAGGCAATGGCATGAAGATATGCCTTAAATCAATAGCAGGAAACCAGGCAAGAGAAATACCTAGACAGGAGCTCTACAGGCCATCATGGAAACAAAGTAGATACTAAACCAAATATTATTTTCCATATTTTCCCAGCAATTATGCTCCTCATTCAGAATGCCTAGGAAGTGACTGGGTTTTGTGTTATACTTTTGGCACTGGCACGTAAGAGTTTTGATTCCCCTGACCTATGAATATAGAGTCATGAAACGAGGTGCCTGCCAAGCAGGCTTGTAGTCTGGATCCTTCTGGGATCTCCTGCGGCAGCATCGGAGCTGAGCGGGCAACTTCCCTGGCAGGGAACAAGGTGCAGGTGAGGGCTGGCGGCAAAGCAAGTGAGATGGAAGCTCTGCAGTCACGAAACCTACCAGCTCTGCACGTATTTACAGTGCAGTCAATAACTGGGCTGGGGGTTGCTTTTTGGACAAAGTGAGGTCTGGCACGTACAGTAAGCACAGCTTTTCTTGAAGTAACCAATTGTTTTGGAAATGACACGAATCAGCAGGCCGGTTAGGGTAACACAAGTGAAGAGCTTACATTTTGTGTGGAAAAAAAACAAGAAATGAAGGAGGACACGTCTTTCATGCAAAATGAAAACTTTGCTACATTGATTGCATTAACAAAAGACCACAACAATATGTACTCAGGTAAAGAGAACAACTTCTGACCTTGAAATTGCGTGCTAAATAAATTACCTCAGAGCGAAAGTGATGAGTTCTCATGACAGCATCTGGAAGGGAAGCAGAAAGACACACAGGCTCCACCAGCTCCACCTCAAGATTTCGCTCCGGCTAACGGTTTTATCTAATTGCTCGCCCTTCGGTGCGTATTCCTGGACGGGGGGTCTGGCTCTCCCGGCGCAGCCGGCAGCTCCGCCCGGCATTTATATTTAATTCATCGGGAGGAAGTTGAGCATAAAGTTCTGCCGCACTTGAGAGACCGGGGGGGCCGGAGGGGGCCGGGGGGGGTTTCCCAGCCCCTCGCTTCCCTCCCGCTGGCCGAGGTTTCGCTAAGGGATGGGTGGAGACAAGGCTGCCGCAGTCCTGGGCTCGGCTTGAATTTTCTTTAAAGCCTTCTCCCGGCTCCACTGAGGAAGAGCGGCCCTCCGCCGGCAGTGAACCGCGGGATGGGCCGGGGGGAACCCCCTCTCCGCCCTCGGGGACGAGCAAAGCATCTCTTACCTCGGCTCCTTGAGCGTCCCGAAAAGACGGATTTGATGGGATGCCTCCCTTTCTGGAGCCTGCGGTGCCAGCAGCAGAAGAATAAAATCGTGGCGATGGTCCCCAGCAGCAGCAGGAGCAAGAAGAGGGCGCACTGGATGCTGTAGGGTCTCAGCAGGACCAGGAAAGCCGCCGCAATCATGGCTCAAGCGCCCGGCTGCCCCTGTACGTGCGCGGCTCTGCGGCGAGCGGCGGGGGGCCGGGCAGCACCGGGCAGCCTCTCCCCCCGGCAGCGGGGCGGGCATCGCCGCCGGCACCCGCGCTGCGGGAACCGGCTAGCCGGGCGGGAGGAGGAGGAGGAGGAGGCGGCGGAGGAGGAGGAGGAGGAGGTAGGGGGGGAAGGAGGGGGGGGGGGGGTG